AAAAAAATAAAATGGAGATTCTAAATGAGTAAGGTACTAAGTTCCTTCCTGCCAAAGCGCAAAGCGATCCGACCTACTTTACTATGAATTTTCTGATTGGTCGGAAGACGGATGGAGGGAATGAAGTAGCCAAGGTGGCCGACCTGCTCGAGACGGACGGCGAAGCCATCAGTCGCTCTTGGGCGCCCGAGCCGGACGGACGCAGTGCAGTGTCGTCGCGCTATTGCATCATAGTGATGTAACGTTGTCAGAGGACTCCGCGGACGCGCGAAACACGTTTATTGAATAGTTATATATATATATATATACTCATATATTTATCCCTGATTTAATTGATTTAATTGATTTTTTTCATTTTATTCGATTTTAGCGACCGGAAAGTTGCGTCGCGTTCTAACGCGTTCCGAGTGCGCGAAACTTATGTAAACTTTTATAAACTCTTATATTACATTAAAATACATTATATTAAAGCGTGTGAGTGGTTTAATTAATTGCGGATATCCCAGCCAAGGTCTCCACAGGGCGAGAGAGAAGATCCAAGACGCTAAGACGCAAGGACATCGCCGCTGGCAGAGGGACGGCTTTCCTTCTTCGTTGGATGGTGAAACGAAGTGGCGACCGCATAATTCAACATAAAATTCAACAGTAGTAAGCGAAATAACAGATTATTAACGGTATCTCACACCTGGGCCGGTCACAAGGTTAGGGTTAGGTTAGGTTAGGTGGGGAGGCCCCCGTGTATGGGAGGTCTTGTCGTGGCACGGGGGCTCACCCTGGACTCCCTAGAGGACCGGGGTGCTAACATTCCATAGTACGGAGCCTCTCGTTAAATAGAGAGGCTCTGTACACCTGGGTCCAGCACCCCAAGGGGGCTCATTCTTTAAGAATGGACACCTAGGGGACATGTCCTTGTTCAGGACATGTCCCCATTGTGCTGGTAGGGGACGGCGACCCCGAGTGCAAACGCCCGGTGAACTGGCACCGTCAGGGGGGGATTTGCTCCCCTCCAGGGTGGAAAAGTGGTGGACGTACAACCATGGCCACCGAGCCCGCGTGGGGCCCTCCCCTTCCCTCTTAGGGGGGAGGGGGTGGTTCCCTCGCGGTACCGGGACCAAAGGTGCGACGCGATAACATATCGCAGGCGGGACCTGGCTTGCCAGCTTAGTCCCAAGCCAACAAAGGGGGGATCCATGGTGGGGGAAACCCCATGCACCCATGGATCAACTGTCAGGTTTACTCCCGTGGACCATGGTTTTCTTAAACGATGGTCCATTGCACTCGGGGCGTCGCTGACAGAGTATGACTATCCGCTGTCTTCCAGTGCCGTTTATCCGGGTGGAGGACGGCGCTGGGTTATAGGGAAGAGGTGCTGATCATCGTAGACCATCACTCCTTTTGGAGATCGAAAATGAGAAGTAGGCGAAGCTTCACCGGGGGAAGTTGATCTTCCCATTGCACCGATGAATCTTGTGGGAGGCGGGTGCCCGCCCGCCTGGCGATAAGCGTTCCGCTACGCGGACGGGCGCCTGCTGCGATGTTTAAGGGATGGGGTTCGACCCGCGCGGCGATAAGCGTTCCGCTGCGCGGATTGGTCTTCGTCGGGGAGAGGGCTGAGAGCTGCTCGGATATATTCCGATGTAGGGCCTCTGCTCTTTAATAGGGCTAGACAGAACGTCGCGTCGTCATTCGGATACATTTCGATACGCAGCGCGACACCCTGGCCCTCTGCGTCGTCCGCTGGGGGGGTGGGGGGGCCGGTCGTGGGAGCCTTATCCGTCCCGCGCGACGGAGAACGCTCTTCGCAGGTCATCCTCGGCTTTTCCCGCCTCCTTCGATCGGGGGGCAACGTAGGGGGGAGGAAAGATAGTAGGTGCCCAGATTCTGACGGCGTTCATTCAAAGCGGGGACTGGGTGTGGTTATGGCTAAACAGGGGGAGTAAATTCCAACTGTAAGGCGTGCCGGTCGCCATGGTGGGGAGGGTGCGGAGGGGCGCCGCGTTCGTTACCTAAACTATCCATGGGGCCACCCGGGTGGCGCCACCTGTCGCGGTGCCTCTGGTGTCGGAGCCGGGGGACCCCTGAAAGCTGAGGGTATTGCACCTAAACCCTCGGTGAGTAAGGGGCTGGAACCCAGTGCCCCCGATGTAACATTCCGGGGGCCTGTGGTATGTGCCGTCTCCCCGTGGGAACTCGGGGCGTTGTCTCAGGAAACTGGACAACGGGGGTATACCCTGGATGTAGCCGCGACAGGGAGTGGTATTCTTTAATAATGAGTCAATACAAAACAAATGAAACAAAAGAGGGGAAAGAAGGGGAGAAAGATGAGAGACATTCAGAAAGATTAGGAGAGAAGGAAAGACCAATGGATGTTGAGATGATAGCGGTGAGTGGACCCTCGAAAAGTCAGTCGGATACACATACCTCGAAATCCGGAAACGCAGGAAAGTTTTCGGTGTTTAAACGACCGGTACCGAGGACAAGAAGTCAGAGTAGTTCGATAGGAAAAGCTGTCTTTATAGAGGAAATCTCATCGGAAGACGAAGCATCAGACAGAACAATATCCCAATTCGGGAGTCTAATGTCGGTCGGGTCGGAAGGTAGTGAGGATTCACCCCCAGAGAAGAGGTCCGTAATTTCAGGAGTCAGGAGAAAAAGGTCAGGATCTACAGCTTCTGAGAGACAAATGAGTAGAAAAGCGATTGCAGAAAGAGAAAAGGAAAAACTCAAAGAGGAATTAAAAATCAAAAGGGAGTTGCTTATTAGAGGCTTGGACATGGATAAGCTCTTTAAGAGAGGAAGAATTAACCTCGAAAAGGCTAAGGAAGAGGTAGAGGAGCTCTCTGGAGATCAACTAGTAGAAACTGTATCAGAGCAAATGTCGGAGGTAATTAGAGTAGCGATGACCTCTTCTAATTTAAAAGGAGTATTTCAAAAATCATTGAAAATTGCAGCAGCAAAATCACTAGGATGTATACAAGTCCTCAAAGAAAGATCAGGACATACAGACAGTGAGAATTATTTAAGTGAAATAAGAGCACTCAGGAAAGAAAATGCCCATATTAAGGAAAAGATGACGGATGAATTAGAACAGGCTAGAAGAATGGCTTTCCAGATCGAGGGTCAGGCTCAAGCATACTTAAAAGAGCTCAATGACTTAAAGAAGAAAATAGCTCAAGGTAAAAGGAAAACTCCAAGTCCGAAATCGGAAGCAATGCAAATAGGAGGAATCTCGGAAAAAACTCGGGAATCCCCCAGAAAGATGGCTCGCAAAATGGCAGAGAGCAGAATACAAAAGAGTAGAGAGATGTCCACGGATTCGGAAGCAGGGAGAAATAGGATACTGGACCCCCCAGATAAATGGCCAGAGGTCAAAAGACCTACGTTAGGTGGAAGAAGTAAAATTCTGGAAGATGACCCTGAAACTCAAAAGGCGATCTACAAGGAATATCTCGTAGAAAAAGAAAAAAGAGATTCTTCTCAAAGAAAAATAGAGAAAGATAAAGGAAGTCCGACTTTAACCTCTAAATCAAATGTCACTTCGAGTTTGGCGGAAACAATCGAGGAAATAGTAGTGAAAATACTAGATAAAAGGCTGGGTAATCCCCCAACTAGGAAAAGGGAAAATATAGCTGACCCTATAAGCGTACCTAAAAAGGAAGTTAAGTCGACAAAATTGAACACAGGAAAACCACGTATTATATCGGTGATAGAACCGGAAACCAGTTTCGAGGTACGAAGAATCAAGGAATTCGATAAATCCACTAAAGAAGAAACGTGGTCCCGGGTACTGGGCCGTAGGGAAAAACAAGATATCAAAGACAGGAAGAAAATAGAGGAGATGAATCAAATCGGAGGGAAAAGGATACTTAATCAAGTCACCAGAAGAACACCTCGTACGGCAGCAATCCAAATTAGCTGTCGAGAAGGAATACTATATGCAGATGTATTCAGAGAAGCAAGGGAGAAAATCAACTTAGAACAAATCGGAATCTCCGAAATCCGTCCGAGAAGAGCGAGAACCGGTGCGCTACTTCTAGAGATACCAGGGAAAGATAGCACAACGAAAGCCAACGAGTTGGCCAATAAAATGAAGGAAATACCTCGAAATAATAATAACGGTCTGATAACAAGGCCGGAAAAAATGGCGGATATTCGGGTTCGCGATCTTGTAGAATCTACTACAAAAATGGAGGTTATTAATAGGTTCGCGGAGCTAGGAGGTTGCGACACAAACAACATTAAGACAGGCGAAATTATTCAATCATTTAATGGCCTAGGTTCTCTGATGGTAAGATGTCCTCTCACAGTAGCCAAACTAATAACAAAATCGGCGAGAGTAAGAATAGAATGGATCTCCGCGAGAGTAGACCTATTACCGGAAAGACCCGCTCAATGCTTTAGATGCTTTGAATTGGGACACGTTCGTGCTCAATGCAAGAGTGAAGTGGATCGCGGTTCACTCTGCTATCGATGCGGAGAAGTGGGACATATGGCCAGGGGATGCACTAACCCAGTAAAATGTACAATATGTCACAGTAAGGGGGAAAATGCAGACAATAGAATGGGGGGCCCAGCATGCAAAATGAAAGCTGGAAAAAGTACCCCAGCACGTATTGGTGGAATATACGAGAGTAGTCGTATCACCTCTACACCGAGGAGTATGGAGGTTGATAGAGTTGCACCAGGCCCATCAAACAAATATGAACCACAGGAAAGGCATATAAGAGAGAGCAGTATGGATAAACAAATGGCTAGATGCAGTATAGATACACCAGAACAAGTAAAAATTGAGGCAATGAATCGGTGTCCAATGGAAACAAATAGAATAGAACTGGACGACGAAGACACCTTGCCGATGGAATGGCCCGTTGACGGTGAAGCATGGACACAAGAGACGGAAAATCAAAGGAAGGAACAATCGGTAAAAGAAAATGCTTAATAAATTACTGCAGATAAACATTAATCATGCGAGGGATGGACATGATTTAATGCTCCAACGTATGGCAGAGGAAGATTTTGCAATCGCAATAATTCCGGAACCATACATGATACCGAGAAATCATCCTCAGTGGTACGCTAATGAAAATAAAACAATAGCAATTACATGGAGAAGATCAAAGAACCCTCTTCCGTGTGTTCCGATCGAAAGAGGAGAACATTATGTGGTGGTTAGATGGGGCGACATAATTATAATCGGGGTGTATCTGTCCCCTAACGTAGGAACTACAATAGTCGAAAAAACCATAGAAGCGATAGAGAGATGCGTAAGGTTTTACAACGACAGAGCCATAGTCATAGGGGGTGACTTCAACGCCAAGGCTGAAATGTGGAAATCCCCAGTCTCAAATCCAAGAGGATTACTCATCACAAACTGGGTAAGTGAGATGGGCCTCATATGCCTAAATCATGGAGGCCGAAGCACGTGCATTCATGGAACCGGTGAATCAATAGTAGACATCACGTTCGCGAATCAAATAGCCGCAGCACGTATCACTAACTGGGAGGTATCTATGACGGAAAGCGCGTCCGATCATAGATACATTGAAGTAACCATCGGCAAAACGAGCTCTCAGACAAAGAAAGAAACGATGCCCAGACCAAAAAGATGGATACTTCAAAAACTAAATGAAGACCTGCTTAGAGCAGGAATAATAAAAGGAGATAACTCCCAGGCACAGAATCCAGAATATAAGGCGGCTAAATTCCAAAAAAATTGTGATGGAAGCTTGCGACGTATCCATGCCCGGCTCCAAAAATTCGTAGAGCTATGCCGTGGTGGAAGAACTTGCTCAATTGCGAGACGCGGCAACGAAAGCACGAAGAAAGGTTAAACGTGCTCGTAAACACGAAAACCCGGAAGATCTTGCCGAGATAAAAGATAAAATAAGTGAATACAAAGAGGCTAGAAAAAAACTCAGCAAGGCTCTGAGGAAAGCCAAAGCCTTGGCATGGAATGAGTTTGTGGACACACTCAACGAGAATCCGTGGGGTCGCCCATATCTAACAGTGATGGGCAAATTAAGAAGATGGACGCCACCTTACACGGAATCGTTGGAGGAGTCTGCTCTAGATAGGGTAGTGAATGGCCTCTTCCCTCCTCCAATGGGAAACATTGAGGAGTGGACGGAGCCTCCACTCCCAGAGGAGGGCTTTAAGTCATGGGTGGACGATTTTAAGGTAACCACAGCGGAACTTGCAACCGCCACATGCAACTGCCACTCAGTTCTACTGAGGTCGATGCTAATCACCTCAATTTCACGGTAATAATGATAAAATAATCATTCACAGAGTCATACCAACAAAATAACGACTGCGGGAAAGCTCGGAAACCGGAAGGAAGACCAGGACCAGCTCAACAAAACTATACAGGGAGAAGACGCCACGAAGAGCCCTCCTAATTAACTAAAATCATCCTGCAAACAAAAACAATTATTAAGAACGCTCACACAAACACAAAAACATATTTTATTATTAATATTATTTAATATATAAGGTAGTTATAAGATTATAATCAAAATAAAAAACATTTACTAAAATACTATTATTTAATAACAATTTATTTTATATTAACAATTTGATTTTCAGAGGCAAAAACAAGCCAACAAAGATAATAGAAAACATAGAGCCAGATACGAACTCATTAAAAAATAAAATTAGCTATATCTTGAAAAGTATAATTAATTTCAGGATAAACTCAATTTATGCCGATTGCTTAAGAGCATCGCTATTCATTAAAATTTGATTCAGCTCAATCAGAGCATTTAAGAGCCATTGAGAGCTCATTTTACAATTTTATATGTTCTAATGCGTTCACACGAAAACATATAAAAACCTAAAAAAGTGAAAAAATTCATTTATTCGATGTAAAAACATAATTAGAGGTCATTTAGACAAACTTGATTAAAAAAAATTCGTTTATTCGATGTAAAAACGTAATTAGAGGTCATTTAGACAAACTCGATTTTTTTTGTATTTTAATTTTAATTTCTGACATAAAAAACTTAGTAAAAACGTGTGACGCTGAACGTGACTCGAAACGAGCGATAAAAGCTCACGAGTCGAATCTTCCCATTACGTGACAATAAAGTCCGTAATGCGAAAAAATTCTTCGATTCTGATCGAAGAAGGTGTTCAAAACACCAATTGTCATATTCCGACAATTAAATTCCTCAACGGAATTTATTCGCGTCCTAGTGACGCGAAAAACCTCGAGTCTCTCGTGAAATTCGAGTAACGAGACTTCGAAGACTCTAAAGGAGCTTTCAGAGTGAAAGAAGCAGTAAGAATGCGAAAGATAGCTTCACGCGGACGTTAGAAAGAGATAGGAAATGCCGCGTGAATTAGAATGCGAAAGATTGACGAAAAGTCATAATTTTATTTATTTATTTATTTATTTTTTACTTACCTTAATAATCCATAGATTTAAGAAAACCGTTTCAGTTTCATTTTGTAAGCCAGAGTCATTGATTCATCACCGGGGAAACTGCCAAAGTACCTGGAAGAAAGAGAAAGTATTATTTAAGTTATCATATAAAAAAGGTATTTACTCAATGTTGTCAAATGTGAGAAAATAGAAAATATTAATAAAAGACATATAAATGTCGTGTAAAGTAGTTAAAACGAACGTATTTACGATTCGCGAGATAATTCTCATATTTGATAAAAATCCTAATAAAAGATTTTATTTTATATTTAAAACAGGTTATTTATTGTAATATTAATTTATAAGTTCATTAAAAAGAGTAAATATCTCATCCGGACACTTATTCGGAATCTCCGATTAAAGAAAACATATATTTCACATAGCGAACAGCTGATCGAGAAAACTCGATATAATTATTAACAAAGATTTTTTATAAACAAACTAAATGGAGATTCTGAATAAGTGAGGCACCAAGTTCCTTCCTGCCAAAGCGCGATGCGATCCGACCTACTTTACTTTGATTTATTTGATTGGTCGGATAGACGGATGGAGGGGATGAGGTAGCCATGATGGCCGACCCGGCCGAGACGGACGGCGACGCCATCAGTCGCTCTTGAGCGCCCGAACCAGACGGACGTCTCCACGCGCAGTGTCGTCGCGATTGTTGCATCATTATTGCATCATACTACCAGAGGACTCCGCGGACGCGCGTAACACGTATTTTGACACGTTAAATGTGTATAATTATCCCTGAATTAACGAAGTTATTGATTTATTTCATTTAATTGATTTTTAGCCACCGGAAAGTTGCGTCGCGTGATATCGCGTTCCGAGTGCGCGAATTGTCTGTAAACCAATAAATATTGATAAAATACATTATATTATTTAATTATAAAGCGTGTGAGTGAATAATTATTCAGCGGAATTTCCAGCCAATATCCCCACAGAGCGAGAGAGAGGATCCGAGACGCCAATACGCACGGACATCGCTGCTGACTGAGGGATGGCTTTCCTTCTCCGTAGGACGGTTAAATGGAGTGGCGACCTTAAACAACCATAAAGAAAACGACAAGTAGTAAGCCAAGTAACAATATTAACGTTTCTCGTATCTCGGCCGGTCACAAACTAAAGTCGGCAGTTAAAAAAATGACTAGCAAAAATGCGGCTCCGGGTCCCAGTGGGATACCAGCGAAAATCTGGGCAATTGCGGTCCCTGAGATGGAAGAAGAAGTAAAGGAAATCTATACAGATTGTTTAAAGAAAGGCAGTTTCCCATCTATATGGAAAAGGTCCAAACTGATCCTTCTGAGGAAGCATGGGAAGCCAGAAGACCAACCGACAGGATACCGTCCCATATGCCTACTAGATGATAAGGCCAAGTTACTGGAAACAATAATCGCGGAAAGGATCCTCAACCATCTCAGAACAAGAGGCCCAAATCTGAATACTTCTCAATTTGGCTTTCGACGAGGCAGATCGACGATAGATGCGATCCTAGCGGTCAGAAAGTTCATGGAAACCGCCTTCGAACAAGGACATGTAGTGATTGGGGTCTCTTTGGACATAACAAATGCCTTTAATAGTATCCCGTGGGAGGTAATAGGGGGAGCACTTAACAAACACAGGGTCCCTCTATACTTAAGACGGATGATAAGAGACTATCTTAAAGATAGACTTCTGACGTTCACCAACGAGAGTGGGGGAAACGACGCTAGGGAAGTAAAGAGAGGAGTCCCACAGGGATCGATCCTGGGACCACTTTTGTGAAATGTGGCATTCAACGATATCATGGATGAAGAGGATCTACCTGCGGAATGCAAAGTGATATGCTATGCCGACGACACAATGGTGTTATCATCTGGAAGAGACTGGGAAGAAGCAGTCATGTGTGCGAGTGAGGCGCTAAATATAGTAATTCAAAGGATAGAAGAACGTGGCCTACTAATATCCCCGCAGAAATCCGAGGCAGCGGGCTTCTGCGATAGGGGTAATATCGCCGTCGATATATGGGTCAGGATAGCAGGACTAGAGATCAAAGTGGGATCCAGAATAAAATATCTTGGATTGACACTTGATAGCAGATGGAGTTTCGTTCCACATTTCATGGAACTAGCCCCTAGGTTAGAAGGAGCCGCACTCGCATTAAGTAGGTTGCTACCAAATATAGGTGGTCCACATGCTAAAGTTAGGAAACTTTACACACTCGTGGTAGCGTCGATTGCGTTATACGGTGCCCCGGTATGGGCATACAATATTAAAAAGAACAGGAGGATCATATCCATCCTTAGGAATTCCCAGAAAAGAATGGCAGGTCGCATGATTAGAGCATATAAAACCGCCTCTTTCGCGATGGTGACGGCCCTGGCGGGCATGCCACCGTTCGAGCTGTTAGCCGACAAATATCAGGAGGTCCACGAAAGTGGTTGTAACAGAAGTTAAAGAGACAGAAGGCATTCCGATACACCCAAGAGCTTTGGCGCGGATCCAAGAAAAAGCGCATAGGAACATGGTCAAGGAATGGCAGGAGTGGCTGCGAAGAGCGGAACACGGAGATACTCGGAGTATTAAGTTCCCAACTACAGGCGTGGCTTCAAGCGAGAGTGGGACTCTCGTACCGTACGACTCAGATCATGACGGGTCATGGATGCTTCGGCAGATTCCTCTGCCGTATCGGAAAAGAAGTATCTGAAAGATGCTGGCATTGCGACGCGGCGTGCGACTCGGCGTCACATACCCTTAGGTATTGCCCCGCGTGGGCAAACGACAGAGGAATCTTAATGGGAATAATCGGAA